ACCGTTTAATATGATTGTAATGTAATCATTCACTGAGATAATAATTAGTTAGATCTGTCCGTGACATATAAATCTGATCTTATTAAATAAAATTTTCTATATTTCTTAAACATGACAATCTTAATCGAATTACATCGATTTTTTTTTTAAATATATTTTCAATCTTAACAAAAAGAGATAGACAGAAAAACAAGTAGTTACTCAGCGAACTGTTGTGGTGAAGTTTACTGTCTAATACTGTAAACCAACTATAATTCGCGTCAACTTTTATTCGCGATTCGTCAGTTAAAAATCAATCCGCGACGATTAATTTTCGCGACTGAGGAAACATTCTCTACAAATACGAAGCAAAATATATAGTTCACGGCGATTAATATTCGCGAGTTAAAGTAGGTCGCGAAAATCGCGAATATTTCTCGCACGCGAATAAAAGTTGGTTTACAGTATCTGCTTTGGTCAGACCATCCTTGTAAGTATTGATCTCTACCCTCACCCATCCCTACTATGAATTGAAACGCATATGTTCCGAATTGAAAAAATCATTGATAGCTATAACAGTCATTTAAAGTACATTTTGCGTGCAACTTGGATACCCTCAGGTATAGTATTCGTTTTTTATCATTTCTCAAAGTTGTTCTCGATACACACTGTACATTACAAGCATACACTACCTATAATATTATATAATATAATAATATATAATACCTAATTACCCAGGGAGAAATATTGATGAAGATTATGAATGTTAAATTAACAGTTGTTTGGGTTTCTTTAAAACACATACCGTTTTTACAGAATGAGCTCATTACTTTCACTACTGTGAAGATTTTAGAATGTTGTCACCGTTAATTGCACGTGTTTTGTATTTTCGTCTTTAAAACTTGTATGGATGGATTTTTCACTTTTCATTTTTTGTGTGTTGTATTGAAAAAATTTCTCTAATAGCAAAAATATCATAATGTAATATACAATCATGAGAACATAGGTTTCCGAAAACTAAAGCAAATGTTTTTAAAGATTTCTAGCGTCGCGAAGTAAGGAGTTGATCCTTATGTCACGGGTTCGAATCCCACTGTGGGACGTGTAGACCGGTCCTTCGGATGAGACCGTATAAACCGAGGTCCTGTGTCGCAGTAGGTGCTGCCACGAAAAAGATCCCTCACTGCTCAATGGCCGTAAGTGCCGAGTATAGGACAAAATTTGCAGCTCTCCATCGACAAGTGGTGGCGTCTTCATATGAGTGAAAAATTCTCGAGAGGGACGTTAAACAACATACAAACAAACAAACAAAACATTTCAGTAGTCAGTTATGTTAAAAATGGTTACAAAAAAGTCTTAATTAATCAATATTGATATGAATAATTCATCAACAGGGATATGAAAGAATTTTCTTTCATAGGCAGAGGTTACCAGTTATTGCTTCGTGACAAGTTGAAATCAATGTCATGGACCTTCGTCAAAACAAGGAAGATTCTTTTTGTACCAGCGCTAACGCTACACAGGGTCCGATTGTTAGGGCCTCATTCAAAAGATCTATGTCTTTAAAATCAAATATCGATTTTGGAACTTTGAAATTATTGGGTATCAAATTCATGTATAACCATACCAACATCCGTGGTACATGTAAAGCATACCCTCCCCCTGAACATTTCTAAGTTGAATCGAAAAACAAAATGCAAAACGTGATTGCTTTTGTCGCAGAACCGCCCTATTCATACCAAATTCACTGGAACAGCTGGTATCAAACAAATCATATGCTATACTACCTTTGCAATGTCAATATTATTAATCACGGTCTTCTTCAAAGTGCAAGCTGATGTACTATGGTGCATTGACCGACTGTTTATATTGTAGAGCTGTAGGCTCATTTGTTCTATGGTATTTGTTAATTTTGAATCTGCAGGTTTTCAATTAATGTCAGAATATATAATTATACCCTATATATCAAAATAATGCCATCTTACTTTTTTCTAGCATCTTAAAACATATCTAGTTTAGTCAGTAACTGTTAATTAAATTACCATTTAAATGTCAATTCTTTCCTTTGCCCAAAGTAATACTTAGAGTTGTCTGGCAACAATGTATACTTAGAGACAAATGTACGTAAAGAACTCAAGCACAAAAATCATATGGCTTTATTACAGGAGGTCTTTTATTTTGTTGACAATATTTGATTTTATGATAGGAATAATAGGAATAATTTCCTTTTGTCCAACAGAAGACATGCCGATTGCTTGTTTTTTTAGCTTTTATCTTTTAGCTAGATATCAGTAGTATGAGACTATTTTAAAGGAAGTTTAGAAAGTATCATTCAGGAAGGCATAAAATTTAGCAGAAACCTCAATACATAATGTCTTTTTTCTTTTTTTCTGAGTTTGCTTACATTTTGGGCCTTGTAGGAAGGAATCAAGATCTTGCATATGTAGAACAGTATGTGTTCCATACATGTATATGCAAAAATATATTCTTCATACTTCTACGACTCAAATTCCTAATAATGTGTCACATTTTATACTCATTTATACTCCTGGGATCACTATGGTAAGGCAAAATTAGTTGGTAATTGAACTCGGAAGAGGTAGGAGCAAAATTTTGATTATCTAAATAAGGTATTCTTGTAAAATATTCTTTAAAAACGTTGTGCCGTTTAATTAAAAGAAAAAAAAATTACCAACGCGAGAAAAATGTGAATGTCTATCTACTGCACTGCGAAGCTACGGAACATGATTCATTTTAAGAAAAAGATATGTTGCTAAAATTTCAAAATATGTAATTATTTTTTAATTCTTAACTATACAAAAAGCAAGGTCATTACCTGATAAAGGTTGCGAATAAAAATGATGTTTTGTGGAGGTCACGGGATGAAGATCCTTCCCCGGAGTCTCCTTTACTGAATTCGAAATACCTGGTAAAATTCACCAATTGACTTAAAGCGTAAATTAACCTCGTCATATCTAACTTCCAGTTTTTTTTTATAAGTCTATTCTAATTCTATACATTTTTATCATTTTTCACAGCTTTCTGTGCATTAATAAAACCATTATCAAAAACATAAAACATTCTGTTCTTCTTTTAAGTTACATTTTTTGGACAAAATACAAAGTTTTGCATTTCCTGCATCATTTTTAGGATCATTAGCGTTTCTTCTTTCAGAATATCCCTCAATTCACTCTAGTTTTATTTCAAATGAAGATCAAATCAGCTAATTATCTTGATATCATTGCTACATTTTTGGAAAAAAGACAGATTACCTAACAATCCATAAATAGAGAGCAGAAAAGTTATCACTTGCACCTGCCTCATTGCTATAGGATTGACACTTACCTTAAACGATCCTTTATGCTATAGAAGATTAGGCGCAGTCATTTGTAAGTAAATCGTTGTGTTTGAGTAAATATTACTTAATCGCAACATCTAGTCAGAAACACATACGAATACATTTCCGGAACCAAGCAATCCTCCCCATTGAAATACATGTAATTGATAGCATTGATGTAACGAAGAGACCAATTTAAATGAAGACAAGATAAAGTTTTTTGTATTTTATTGTATCTTATGTAATGTATTCCATCCCATAAAATATTTTTATTAAAGCTTCTATGCATCATTCCGATGTACATCTAAGTAAGATTAATCAATATCACATAAATATCACATATTTTCGTGGGATCTGTTCGTGAGGATTTGATTTAGTAGTTGATATAGTGTTGAATTTTTATACATTTGAAATCTTACATTTTATGGAGGGTATGAATCCTTGGGTATCTTCATACCACGAAAACAACGAAAATTAATCCTCTACGAAAATTAGTGATTTCACAGTTATCCAGAAAGAATGACACTTTGAAGTTTCATCACCCGTTATCTGCGTGACGAAAATTGTATTTAAAAATCATATTGTCTTTGATTCATCCTTGATCTTTCTTAGCTACTAGTATTTTTATTTATAAAATCTTGACTTCCTTTGTAGCCCAAATCTTGATCGAGAAGGAGGAAAACTGAATCGTAGATGCCTTTTTTCTTTATACTATATAAGGTTTCAAAGTTTAAAAAAGGTTTGATGATTTAGTTTCCTTAAATCCCGTTACTGGAATACTAGTATTCTTGCTTGGAATAGTTGATATTTTTATGTAGTGGATTCGCCCTTACGTTACTCAAAGAATGGGAAGGAAAACGCCAACCTAACTAAAAAAAAAATCCTGTCCACTTAAAGGTTGGTACATTGTAAACATGGATTTAAACAACATATATATTTGAGAAACTCTAGCAGTTTTATTTTCTGTCAGGATGGTTTATTTCATCTTATAACAGGCCAGGGGTATTTCTTTTTTTACAAATCTATTCATGAAGGGAAAGGACAATCTTGCCGCACTTCTGATATTCTTTTGCACTGTGACAGACATGTAATATCACTTTGATATCTTTCACATTGTGACAAAATATTCAATAGATAAATTAAATTATTTCACAGTTGAAAATGTAATAAATAAATATAAACAACATGTTATTGTAAACATGGGGATAAACAGTAACAATCATTGCCGAAAAATACATAACCATTGTAACCATGTATATGTACCATATGAATTGAACTTATTGTATTTGAAGCTTTGAGAAAAAAATGACCAAATAGAAGGATATTAAAGATACAATATATAATACACACGATGATTTATATTTTCTAAAACACCGTTTGAGAATAAGCATGATATACTTGCAAAACAAATTAAAATTGTGGGTTTTTTTTCAGGACTTTCGTCTTTTAACCTACTTTGGTGATAAGTTCATGCATCGTTGTTATACTGAAATTAATTTTTTTTTTTTTTTTTTTTTTTTTTTTTGACATATTATACTTACCCTTGGCATTTTATGGGAAAACCTACATTTAAAATGAAATTTTTCTACCATTTGATAAACATTTAATTTGATTTATTTCCTTATCGGGTATATAATATATCACAAAGAAAAAAGTAATAAAGCAAAGATATTACAAAGTGTATGCATAAATTATATTATTTATCTTGAAATGTAGTTTGTAAATATATATTAATAAAGTGTTTATAAAAAAGGAAAATTTAGGGTGGAAAACATTTTTCTTCGTACGGGATCAAATACTGCTTCTGTTATCAGGGGTTAAACGGAAATCTGAAAGAAAAAAAAGTAAGAATTACATTGAAAAAAAAAGGTGAATATAACGAACAGTGATCGATTTCAACAAAATCAATAAACAATACAATTCTGTGAAGAGGGCATAAAACACGGACCCCTGGAAATTCCAGAAGTGGGATAAGGTGCCTAGGAGGAGTAAGCATCCCCTTTTGTCCGGTCACACCCTCCGTGAGCCCTATGTATCGATCAGGTAGTCGGAACATTCCGTAGTCAAATTCAGTATAAAAATAAAGGCCTATCAATTGGTATGAAATTAATTAAGTGAAACTTTTTTCATTCTAGTTGATTATCTAACGGACTTAAATATATACTACACCAGTTACTTACTATGCTGTCGCCCGCGTGGAGCAGTGGTTAGAGCATCTGCTTTAGAGTCGCGGAGTAAGGAGTTGATCCTTACGTCGCGGGTTCGAATCCCACTGTGGGACGTGGAGAACGGTCCTTCGGATGAGACCGTATAAACCGAGGTCCTGTGTCGCAGTAGGTGCTGCCACGAAAAAGATCCCTCACTGCTCAATGGCCGTGCCGAGTATAGGACAAAATTTGCAGCTCTCCACCGGCAAGTGGTGGCGTCTCCATATGAGTGAAAAATTCTTTAGAGGGACGTTAAACAATATACAAACAAACAAAACTTACTATGCTTGTTAACACTTTTCAAATTTTCAAAGAACACGTAGAAACTCCTTTCTTTTATACTTGGATCTTTTTTCCGTATAATTAGAGAAATATCCTTTGCATTAGGTGCTAGGGAAGCGATGCTTTTAAGACGAATAATTTCTTTCATCAAAGTGTTTTCTAAAAAATAACAGAAAACAGTGTGTAAAGATAATCATTGTTTCTTAAAAATATTATAAAACGAATTAATAAAATTAAACATTTTATTTTTTATTTCAGTAATATTTTTAATGCAGATTAACAATACACAGTAATGTACATCTACAGGAATATTTTTTGCATGCCTTATTATGTTAATAAAACAAAACACCCTAAATAGTTTATGTTTACCTTGTTTTAATTTTTTGTCCTTTGAATCATCACTGTCGCTGGCTATCCTTAATGTAAAGTCTTTCTTTGCAGGTTTCTGCCTTCTAGCATTGCCTTTGAACTGGTTAAATTTTTCATCCCCATGAAATAAGCGGAATTGATTTTTCAAATTTGGAACTGTATTATCTATGAATGTATTAATAAAGACATGCATTTTTTTTTGATAAGTCCAGAAAAGTATTAATTAAAAATCAAGACATTGGATAAGACTTTACAAATAAAATTTCCTCTGACTTACTGGCACCCAATAGAGTATAAAGTACGATGCTTTTTGGCCAAATATTACATTATTTTAATCATCTGCTCTCCCGAATAATGCAAATGCTGACATTAATACGTTGGTTGCTTTCATTAAAAAGTGAATGGATCGATGTTAAAAAAAAATACCTATCTTTTCCTTTGAATTTGTTGATATTTCCTTTTTCTTCGATACAAAAGACATCCCGGTCGGCCCTTCCGAGAGCCAACGGTATTGAGGGGTAACTAAATATTTAAGAATAGAAATTTATTACAGTATACCAAGAAAGTTTTCTTTTTAGGATATAAACAAAGGTAAGCATACGTAGGTGTTACGTAGATCCTTTGACAATCTAAATTAATATTATCCACACTTATATTCTAAGACGCTCGGGTAGTCTTCATCATTTTGCAGATAATAACGTACATGTATTTTACGGATGATTTAAGATCACATGATGTCTACTTTTATATAAAAGTAACATTGTGTTCTTACCTTTTTTCTCGTGTATAGTGTATCTAAATGCCCTTGACAACTTTTTAATCATGGCCATTGTTTCTGAAAAGAAAAGGAACGAAATCATAGATATGAGTAAAACAATGGCTATACATGTAATACCAATTAATTAAGGAATGAATTTAATAGCTACCCATTTTATACGGTATAAACTGGGTTGGGGCAGTTTACGCTTAATAAACCGCTTCGCGGTTTATTAAAAAGCGTAAACTGTTCCAACCCAGTTTATACCGTATAAATTGGGTAGCTATTAAATTCATTCCTTATAATTTAATTTTCATTCATTTAGTGAAAAAAAAAGATGATTGCCCTTAAAAATGACTTCAAATTGCACAAAATTTAAAGCAATATGAGCTACAACTTTGATGTCAGAATTTTTTGTTGCAAAATTGTTATTAACTATTTCAATGACAGAAAAAAAGAACGTTTCTAAACTTCTGTTGTTTATATTTGAGATGAAAGAACTATTTATAAGCTTTGATTGAAGCAAAATTACATTATTGTCGTCCTGTACAATATTGATTTCTTATATTATACTATATATTTTATTGTACAGAATCCTTTGTTCTGAAACAATTTGATACTTTATTTCTAATTCATCAAAAAGGTTTAAATTACACACAAATTTATCATAATAACTCATTTTAACAGCAAAATAAAATTCTCAAAAATGCAGCTCATATTGCTTTAAATGTAACGTCATTCGGATCGATACGTTTTTGACACAAGTCATTGTGACGTAGGCAGCCCAATTTATACAATATAAAGTAATTTTTTTGTCCAATCAAATGGCGCGTTACATTCATAATTAAATTATTCACATATCCTGTACGCTATCTTACCTTTCTTTGAAACTGGTTTCAGAAGCGTTTTCTTTTTTATTTTTGTGGATTTTGCAGAAATGGTTTTGTCTTCCTTTAAAAAAAAATTATTTACATCTTAAAAATTAATGGATTCACGAATCAGTTCTTGTAACAAAAAGGTTTCTGATTAAACAATCTGACCAACCATAGACATATTTATACATGTATGAACGCTGCTTGGGTAAAAAAAATTGTAGACGCCAGCCTACGATCAAGAAGTGAATTTTCTTTCTATTAACAATCCCTTCTTTTTAACATACAACACTTCAGTAAATTAACTCAGGGGTTTTACATCAATTTGTTGTCATTTTAGTGTAAAATACCGCAAAATGTTAATAATTGCTTTCTGGAAAAAATATTACATTTTATTTTAATATTTATTATTTTAATGCAGAAATTTTTAACTTCTCAATCAATATAGATCTAACCTGATTTTAAGGTAATTTTTTTTTTAAATTCTTGTCAATAAGGACAAAAAATATAAAATGGTTTTCCTGGTATGATGCATGACCCTTTGTATACTTGAATGAATTTTTGATGTAAGTGGACTCTTGATGGCATTACATTTTTATATAATTTTTAATTTGATAATATATTGGCAAATTGATTTTTAAATTGCATGGAATATGTTGAAATGACATGCCTCTTTTATTGAAAAAGTCCTTCGTCATGAAAACAAATTTGAAATTTCTTTGCTGACAGCTTTCATTTACAAACATCTTTAAAACGTCGAAAAGTATAAATATATTTTTTAATATAAGCAAATCAATCATGTCGCCTTAGTTGGAGAATCAGAATTAGACATGATAATACAATATAAATATGATAGCAATAAAGAAGCACCAAGGATACTGTTTTCTTTATAGACTCTCTCTTAATCTTTTGACGAGGAAAGAATGCATCATTGTTGAGAAATAAAAATAGTTGTTGATGAACACCCTTTGGCTTACTACCACTTTTGAAATAGTGCACCCGTATGGTTAAAATCCTGAGTATTAATTTATGACGAAAAGGTTACTAGTAGTCAGTGGCTTGTGACATTTTTCATTGGTGGTTGCATGTCGAACACAACATTCGTTACTGGTACATAAAGCTGCTACATACCGCAGCATCATTCATTATTGGTACAAATAGCTACTAGATACCGCACCATCATTCATTACTGGTACATATACACATGTAGCTGCTACATTCCGCAACATCATTCATTACTGGTACATTTAACCGCTACACACCTCAGTATCATTCATTACTGGTACAAACAGCTGCTACATACCGCAACATCATTCATTACTGGTACATATAGCTGCTACACACCGCAGTTTCATTCATTAATAGTACATATAGCTGCTACATACCACAACATTATTCATTACTGGTACATATAGCTGCTACATACCACAACATTATTCATTACTGGTACATATAGCTGCTACATACCGCAAAATCATCCATTACTGGTACATATAGCAGCTACACACCGTAGTATCATTCAATACTGGTACATGTACATATAGCTGCTACATACCGCAAAATCATTCATTACTGGTACATTTAACCGCTACACACCGCAGTATCATTCATTACTGGTACAAACAGCTGCTACATACCGCAACATCATTCATTTCTGGTACATATAGCTGCTACTTACCGCAACATCATCCGAGTCCGAAAGAACACACGCAATTAATCCTACAACAAATAAGATGCACACTCGTTGCATGTTTAAATTCTCTTAAATGATTGTTCATAATCCGTAATAATTTATACATCCTTACTTAAAATAATGCAAATCGACCACATAATCAATGACAAATATTAAGTACCATGCAGTGCAATTAATAGGCAGAAAACGAATTGATTCCCTTGCATTTTTATTGTCACTGACATATATTTCATACACTTCCCTATTCTTTAAATAAAAAATAAACTATGTTCATTTAAAAAGAAGTTATTAAAATATCATTCAAGTTTAGGTATTTAGGTAATACAATACTCGTCTGTATAGAAAACTTTTTGGGGTTAGAGATCAAGGTAATATCAATAATCATCGAATAGCTACTTTTATAGAGTGTCAATTTTTCTAAATGTCATACATTTACCAAAATGCTATTTAATGACAAAGAAAATCATGCGAAAACTGAAATACTGATTATGTTAATTTACCCTCATGACTTTATGTCATAAAGAATAATGATTAACCTGTACAGTTCTCGAAAATTTTACCGAAGAATTTTCGGAAAGCAGGGGAGATTCTTGCCGTTTTGAATGTTTGGAAAAACCCATGTAAACCAAAGTTATGTCACAGACAATGGTCCTTATTATTTTTAATTAGCCTTTTGAATTTGAGTAATTGATATTCAATACTATCTTTAGCAATAATATAACTCAAGGGTTAGAGAGATTTTTTATCCAATCACTCCCTCTCTGAGATGTATACGACCTAGACATTAAAGGGAGTGATAATAATTTTTACAAATATAGTTCCTAAATCAAATGACGTCACACTATGGAACAACTATTCGAATGGAAGGATCAAATGTATGGAGCACCACTTCAAAGCTTATTACCACTGATTAGGCGCAATATGTTCCAATTGGTGTCCACAAACCGTTTCTTGACAGTGTATGGATGCAAGCAAAACGTGCAACTTGCCCTTTTTTTTTAGAAAATGGAGTTAAATTTCGTCACAAATTCAAATAATTTAAAAAAAGGTCTAATGTTTAGTTTTTTGTATATTAATCAATTATTTTTCCAATCTTTATGTTAAAGTCACTTAGAGATGTTGCTCTTTGAAATACAAGATCAATATGATAATGGAATAACTCGACATCCGTTTCTAAAAGACTCCTCCAATTGTATCAGATTAGGAGAAGCTGAGAGGCTGTCAATCCTGTTTCAAAGGACGAAATGCAAAGGTAATTTTAAAGCTCAGATATAGCTGAAGATCTTTAGATGTATGGAAATTAAAGTGGTCAGTCATAGACTACAATTATTCAGGAAATATAACAAATGCTGGGGTTGGGGACCAGAACAGAGCCAACTTGTTCTTAGCCCTTGTATATCTTCAAGAACCAAGATTTGCCTCTATTAAAGGACATCATTTGTATTTTTAAACTCTTTCTTGATCTATACCTAAGGCAGAGATAGGATACATTACAAATAAATATAACTCTTAACTGTGATTGAAAAAAATTTATTATATTTAATTATTTTAACAAAGTATGCGTAACAAGACCGTCGGAAGGTAAGCGTTTGATGTGATCGCATACCACTTTTTTTAAAATAACCAATTTTTGAAACACAATAAATTCATTGTTTATTTGTTTTACGTAAAGCTGCAAGATTTAGTAAATTAAATATATGTAAAAAGACATGCAGAGCGCACTAGAAACTTTTTTTTTTTTAAATCTTACTCAGATGGGTACCCTGCAAGACTCTCCCCTGTAAACCCCAGTCCATAAAACTGGCTACCACGCTCCATAAGAACTCATTTACACATTACAATCAGTACATCATATTAATTAAGAAAACTAGAAACATCTATTGTAAGCAACAACGTATGTAGGCCTAACCCCGAATTGATACCTTCCTCAATTTTTATGGCAATGGCGTCCATTTTGAATGTTGCATGACCAGAAAAGATCAAAACTTATGCGAGAGTATGGTGACCCCCGTGTATCTGTCAGTCTGTCTTACCGTAAACAATTTTTTAAAACGCTACTTCTCCTACAGTTTTGATCCAATTTTAATAATACTTGCAACAGTTACACTATACCAATATACATAATTCTGATTATAGATATTCAGTTTCGACAAACGGTGTTGTCATGGTGACAAAAATATAAATTTCTATGAAACCCTTTTAAAACGCTACTCCTCCAACAATTTTATTCCAATTTGAATAAAACTTAGTAGACAAGTTCACTGTACTCATATACATAATCTGTGTAACGATTTATGATTTCGACGAGGGACAGGCCATGGTTATAAAAAATGGAAATTTCTATGAAATTCTTTTAAAACGCTACTCCTCCTGCAGTTTAAGTCCAATTACAATAATACTTCGTACACAAGTTCACTAAACTGAGATGAACATAATTCTTTGTATCTGTTTTTGACTTCAACAACGGTATTTCCATGGCTACTAAAAATAGAAATTTCTGCTAAATTCTTTCAAAACGCTACTCCCCCCACAGTTTGATCCAATTTCAATAATTCTTGGTACACATGTACACTATACCAAGATACATAATTCCCTGTACCACTTTTTGATTTCGACAAGCGGTGTTACCATGGTAACTAAAAATGGAAATTTCAAAACACTATGCTCCACCAACAGTTTTGTCTAATTTCAATGAAACTTGATAGACAAGTACACTGTACTAAGATACATATGATAATTCTTTTTAATGGTTCTTAGTTTTCGACAAACAATGTTGCCATGATTGCAAAAAATAGAAATTTCTTTGATTTTTGTGTCGCCTGCAGAGCAGAGCGGCACTAAGGGATCACTTTACCCGGCGTCTGTCTGTCTGTCCGTCTGTCTCTCTGTCTGTCCGTCTGTCACACCTTGTATCTCAAGAACTGTAAGAGATATGGACTTCATATTTTGCACATATATTGCTTGGCACTTCGGCTTATGTGAATTACCATGGATACCGACCGCACGCCCTTGACCTTTGACCTAATTTACAAAAAAAGTGAATAGTGCCAATATACAGCATATTTTTGACATTTAAGAGGTAAGTCTATGCTATTTAGCATTTGCACTGATTGTCGCAAAACGTCATCAAAAATACCAGTGTTACAATATACTTGACCTTGACCTACTTTGCAAAAAATACCCAGCTTAATTTAACTGAAGTCTTTTGAATTTTGAGAGGCGGGGTGTTGAAAATTAGCATTTATACATATTTATGAGCTCATGATACTGTACTTTGAAACTGTATGAAATTCAGCTACCACACAAACTTATATCTAAATACTATGAAAATACATCGGGATCGTATCCCACGATGGATCATGTAGACTGGCAATTGGAGTAAAGACTTTCAAACACGCATTAAAACATGTAAAATAATAAATAATTATTTATAATAAATCCAGTTTAACTATTCATTTTAGGGTTATGAATCATATTTTCTTTGATTGTCAGATTCTATCGCAGTCTTATACTATGCGTGGATGTTTTTTTTTCTGCATGAACTATCATGCTAGTAGTAGATAAATAGCTAATTACACTTAGCTTAATATCGTCTTTAATGAAGCTACAAAGCAGGCGACACATGCGTTCCTTGGAACACTCTAGTTTTTAAAATGCTACTCCTCTCACAACTTTGGTCCAATTTCAATAAGACTTGGTACACAAGTACATTATACTAAGGTACATAATTCTATAAAACAATTTTTGATTTCGACAAACGGTGTTACCATGGTTACAAAAATAGAAATATCTGTGAAATTCTATCAAACGCTTCTCTTTCTACAGTTTTGGTCAAATTTCATTAATACTTGGTATACTGTTCTAAGATACATAATTATATGTGTTATTTTTTATTTCGACAAACGGTGTGGCCACGATTACTTAGAATATATTTTTTGGAAATTCTTCAAAAACAATACTCCTCATACAGTTTTGGTTAAATTTCAATAGCACTTGATGTACTGTACAAAGCTACATAATCCTTTGTATCAGTTTCTTATTTCGACAAACGATGATGCCATGGTTACAAAAAATAGAAATTCCTTTGAAATTCTTTCCAGATGTTACGTTACTCCCACAGTTTTGGTCCAATTTCAATAAGACTTGGTATACAAGTGCAATTTAGTTAGATACACCAAGTACATACAAGTAGAGCTTCATTTTTTTTTATCAAAGCCTTCTTGTTTCTTACCGTTTCCAAGTCAAAAACATTCAAACACTATCTGTGTCTTCTTCTAAACCTCTCTAAATTTACTTTTTGTTTCAAAAAATTCTTCATCAGCTTTCAGGTCTGCTCAGTATGTAAAGATTTGATATGACATGAGCATCGGTTCCTTGCTCACTAGTCCATGAATAAAAAAAAAGTATACCGATATGCTATTGTACTGTGTAATAGTTGGATATATGAATTTGCTAGATGATATTGTATCAGGGTAGGTTGGATGTATGAATTGGTCTTTTTGGGGGAGGGGGGGGGGGACAAAGGGTGGTATTAATTCAAGTAAGAAAAATAACTCAATAGTGTTGAATAGTTTAGAGAAAACATTCCCCTTCCTCGGGCCGATGTTTTCTCTGAACTATCACACACCATCTCGTTATTATCCATCACAGATCATGTAAGGCACATCACTTCACTGGTTTAATTAACTGTGTATTCTATCCAACAAGGTAACAAGAGTTGTTTCTCTTTCATATTCTGAAATAATTCAGACTTTCGAGAAACTGGATCCTCCAAATGCCCATGGAAATATGTTTTCTACAAAGAAACCCTCAACGAATCAACCACAAATGGGTCCTTTTAGCCACAATTTTGTATGCCATTTAACTCAGATGATTCAGGCACATTCAAACAAAAAAAATCTAATGAAACTATTTAAATTTACAGGATATCAAAGTATTTATTATAAATGTTTTAGGAACATTTTTATGAACGTAAAAGACTAAGTGTGAACAATGCGTTGATTTAATTTTTTTTATCAAACAAGCTATTCAACTTTGCCGGTAGATATAAATGCTTA